TTTTTTTTTGTCTGAATCTGTCTTTATTGGGTATCTGTAATTATTTTCTGACCAGAAGTGCCTTTTCTTTTAATGTTAAACAAGTGTGACTAGGACCTAGGCTGCTTTGTCTTTTAGCTCCACCCAGTCCAACATGGTGGAGGTCTGTTCACTACCTCTGTGAGCCATGAACACCACCCCAGTTCCATGTATACAGCAGGTCTATGTCACACCATTAAGCAGTTTGTAAAACGCTGCTCACAAGGCCCATTTAAATGCTAAATCTCCTTAAAGAGCCAGGGTTCATGCTGGCAACACAGCCAAGGAAGCCTCCATTTTAAAACTGTGGTGGGGTGGTTTTTTTTCTGCTACACTGAATCAGGAAGACTTCTCTTAAAGCAATCATGCCTCTGCTTGCTTCTAGCAAACAGAGCCGGCCCACCCCAGAAAATGTTGCTACTAAAAGGCCATGCTTAACTCCATTCTTTTGTATCTAGAATTCATTTTTAAGCTTTCTCGGGTTTTACATGGATACAGTCAACCACATTGGTGTGCCAATTTGTGGACAGAAGGCTATTCTGCATTCCCAGCTACTCATCCCTGAAATAATCACACAAAAACTATATTATTTAAAGCACTGCTTGGTAGAAATCTTAAGCATATTTCTGCTAACTCTGCCTACTCTCTCCTCATCTATCTGCTTGGAATTCCTGCCTTGCCCTATTCTGCTAAGTCATTGGCTGAAACAGCAGCTTCTTTATTAATCAATGGCAATAAAAACATATTAATAGCATACAAGGGGGAATCCCACATCAGAGCCATGTGTCAGATGGGGGAAAATTCAATGTCATGTCTGTCTCCTCCCTCCCTCCTTCTGTGTGTGTGTCTGTCTGTCTGTCTATGTCTGTGTGTCTGTCTACCAATCTCAGTCATTCTACCTTGGCTTACAGAGCTAAGTCAAGCCATGGAACATAGGGGGAAAGGAAGGGAGCATCAACCCACATGTCGGTCCCAGTTGGTGATAAGCCATTGGGTACTGAGGTTGCTCTAAACCAACTCTTTGGGTTCCAACTGGTATTCTGGAAAAGGACTGCCCTGGCTAGTTTTATGCCAACTTGACATAAGTTAGAGTCATCAGAGCCTCAAGTGAGGATTTGCCTGCATAAGATTCTTAATTAGTGACCAATAAAGGAGAGCCCAGCCAATTGTGGGTGACTCCATCCCTGACCCTGGGTTCTATAAGAAATTGGGCTGAGAAAACCATAGTAGAGTAAGCTAGTAAGCAGCAAATCTCCATGTTCTGCTTCAGCTTCTGGCTCCAGGTCTCTGCCCTGTTTGAATTCCTATTCTGGCTTTCTTCAGTGATAGACTACAATGTAGAAGTATAAGCCCAATAAATCCTTTCCTTCCCAACTTGCTTTCTGGCCATGATGTTTTGTCGCAGCAACAGAAACCCTAAGACAAAGACTGACTTGAAGTAGCTGTTTCTTTGCATTTAAAAGGGTCTTGATGAAGCCACAGAGAGCCAGGTGCCCAGACTATAGAGAAGGAAGAGAAAGAAAGGCAAGGGCAGCAGATGCTTGCGTCTCACTGAGCAGTTGCCAAGCAGCACTTGCTGTGCTGGTAGGAACTGAGAATCCTAAAATCAACATGTCAGTCTGCTGGGCTCTCCAGCTGTGAGCCTGCGGCACCATGTGAGATGCCAGAGACTTGCAGCAGCGCACATGGGGTGGAGTGAAGACGAATGAGCTCTCAGAGTACACCCTGACTGTAATCATCCCCCATGTTCTGCACATACCTCTGTTCTTCTCACATTCTTCTCAGTGTTTGGCTCTTTGAAGAAATATTTCCATTGGGGGGACACAGTGAAAGGAACACTGGCCTTGGACATATGGAATTTTGATTGTAGGCTCAATGCCAGTAGTCTTCATGATTGTGGTCAATTAATTAAACCCTGATGAACCTCAATTCTCTCATAAATAAAATGAAGATAACACTGCCACTACTGGCTGAACTGATAGAATTATAGAAAAATTCTGTGAGCTCTGGGCCACAGTCTGTACCTCTCAGGTCTCCTTCCTGTTCCACAGACAGTCCCCCAGCAGCTCCCAAACCTGTTCTCAAGCACATAAAGAAAAGGCCTTTAGGTAAGATGCTGCACAGCGCATAAGCACACGGGGCCAGCAGCTCTCCTGTACATGCATCCTCATAACGTGGCCAATTTCTATTCCTCTCATTATGAATACACTGGCCTCGAGCCAACAGACTCCACAGGCATCACGCGTTATTACCGTTAGGCCCTGTAGCAGCTGTAGGTATAAATTTTATTCATTACTATGAGGATCATATCAGGAAAATCATAAAACTAGAGGGCTAGACTCTGGTCTACTGTAGAGAAGTACCACTGACAGATGTCTTCGGGGTTTGCAGTGAACATTAAACAAAACAGTTCATGACAAGAGGCTAGCATGGGTCCCAATTCTAAGTACAACTAAAATCACTTTCCTTTTTCTAGTCTGTCAATATTTCTGTCCTTTTCTGTATAGATATCATTAAGGGAAAAAAGCCAAAAGACAAATGTTAATCAAATATCTTCCTTATTTTATAGACAGTTTAACTCAAGGTTAGACCAAGACTGTGTGGCTATCCCGTCCTGCTCCTCCTGTCTTTCCGTGTAGTGAAGTCACAAGTGCACAGACACACTGACTTAGGCTAGGGGCGGTGCACTGTGGCATCTGAGCCGATGTGCTATGTATATGTACTGCAGACTGCCCTCTGGACAGACCAGAGAAGAAATGACTGCTGGGAAAGAAGAGGCTTCCTCCAGATGCAAGCTACATCTTCTTCTACTCTATGTGCTATCAGTCAGGAGTTCCCTGAAGAGAGCCAGAGATCCTCTCCCAGCATGGGAATACTCCTCTGTTATGCTATCAATAAGATGATAAAGGGTCACCCATAAGAAATGATGGACTATTTTATTCTCCTTGTAAAAATAATAGAAAACTATTATCATTTAAGGAAACAATCAGAGACAACTATCTACAGGAAACTGTAGGGCAAGCTGATAGTAAATAGTAAAGAATGAATCCTATTTTTTCTAAAGTTTATCTATTTGTGCAGCATCCAGATCAAGCATGTAGGGTGTGTTCCAGAATGTACTTTGGTAGATGCCTGACACAGCAGATAATGCTGAGCCCTACCCACAGCAGGCCTTCAGCAGCACGTCCTGCAGCATTGCCGTGCAGCGGCAGTGAATCCGTGCTTCCAAGTTTCACGCCCTGGGATCCCCTTGACGTGCCTACTCGTTCCTTTCAGAGCCATTTTTAAGCAAGACAAAGGTATCCTCCTGAACACAAAGCCTGGACTATCAAGACAGTGCTTCTCATCTGCGAGATGACTGCTGAGAAGGTGGACAGTGTATTCTGCATGGGTACCTTTGAACCAAGGGAGGATTCATTCCCTGGGCAACAGTTTACCATGACACTTGAAACAACTTTAAAAACTGGCCATTTAAAACTTACTTGTTTACTAACAAAATTAACTAATATTTAGTTTTAGAACATTCTACTTCAAATTTTCAGGTCACAGTTGACACAGTAACTGTACTGTTAAAAAGACAAAATGCTGGAAAGGGGGGGGACTCCAGTAGCCACTTCCAGGTCTATGCTGTTATCGTTTGTGATGTCTTTGTCCATCTAAAGAAGGCTACTTTTGTGACTAATATGAAGGAACCTTTTTAAATGACTTCAAGAGGGTTCCTAAAATTGGTTTCAGACCCAAACAAATCAGATTCCACCACGGCACTGGTGGCACATACCAAGGCCTTGCAAGAGTCTTGAGAGGAGTCTTAGGGTGGGATTTTCTTCCCGCATTCCCAAAGTTCTGACCTACAGTTCCCAAACACAGCTTGCTGCCAGGAGACCATTGTAATGTGATTACTGGTATCGCAGAAATGCTTAGGTATATACCATTTTCATTTTCTGAAACAGGGAGAAATCTTTTGCATGCAGATATTATCTATGCAGTGTGGGTCCCTCTGCAGGACTGGTTAGCAGTCTTGTGTAACATAATCGCCCTCATCAAGCGTTTATCATCAACCTCAGACCCCACTCAGCACTTAGCTAGCAGCTGAGAGCTGCCTTCTCCGGCTAGGACATATTGCTTCTTTAGCTCCATCCATTTTCGTGAGCTCTACCCACACTCTACCTCCCTGATAAACATCTCCTCGATCCCAACTGCACACATCTCTCCCTTAGCCATGCTCCCATTAACCTGTGTCCGTGCCACAGGGGTGACTGTGGTCTTTCCACTCAAGTTCCTGTCTGTTCCCATGCCACGGTTTCTGCAGACAACAAACCCTGCACAACAGTTTCCACTTCAAATAATCCTTTATCATTTATTATTTATTTAACTTGAGAGAAAAGGAGAAGCTATTTTACTATTATTTAGCTTGAGAGGTTAAAAGAGCTAGAGTTCCGGGCAGATGGACTGCATTTTGGTTTGTTGATGTTTACTTTTTTGGATTTTAGAACCCTGGAAGAGGAGGAACTCAAAGACTGACAGCTTCTTTACAATTGTACAATAAAGAGTGGTAGTCAGAGCCATTTCGCTTTACACCAAGACCCAAGTTCCCGGGTAGACGGTAAAGGGATCTGTCCACATCTGACTGGGTGGAAGAACTGTGCAGGTTATAAAAAGCTAGCTAGGCCTCCATGGACCATCTGAGGGCTACCACTGTTGCTTCCCTCTCAACCTGGTAACCTGGAGGCTGGTGTATCCCGTCTCTCACCTGACCCCTACCACCAAAGTAGAGAAGGGACTTGGTCTGAGCTCTGAATTATGTCCAAAGATCTAGGTCCAGGGCAAGAAGAAGATGAGACTTTATGATTTGGAGTAAATATGTCTTATTTATGTCTGCATTTAACCAGGAAGGAGTGGCAGGCTCACCTCCTTCCACTTGTACCAAGCTTGGTGGCCAGCACAAGCTGAAGCACCGTATCCCCTTCCCCACATAAAGAGTGCTGAGAGGAGCTGACCGCTTCTTCTACCTTGCCAAAAACACCTTCTGGATTCCTTGAGTCTGTGTTTTCTCTGCCCCTCACAAGCATGGGTCAAGGGCAGGCCAAAGTCCACATAGTTTATATTCCCTACAGGATCACTTGAGGGGCATTCATTAGAAACGCAGAGAGAAAATTAAGGAGTTAGATGGGATTTTCCCACTAGGGTCCCAACGTTCTATCAAAAGAGTAGAAATTTTTAATCAACTGATCCATTATTTTATTTATTTTGTTAATATGTGAAAAGCCATGAGACTCTGATTAAGTAAAATCCAAAGTAGGTCTCAAACAATAAATTTTCAGCTCCTTCTCAGGATTTATTTTTACTTGTGTGTTTGTGAACATATGTGTGTGCACTATGTGTGTGTCCTTGGAGGTCAGAAGAGGGCATAGGATCCCCTGGGTCTGGAATAAGTGCTGGGAGCGGAACTCCAGTCTTCTGAAAGAACAGACAGCACTCTCAACTGCTGAGCTGTTAGTGAAGCTCCTTCATTGTTTTCTTATTGTAAGGATAATTCATGCAAGAATTTGAACTTGGAAAATTATGTGAAAGTTTAAATAAAATATTGACGCACCTGTCAGGAGCCGACGTTCTCTCTGCATGAGAACACAGCCAGCACACAGCATCTGACTCAGCTGGTGACACCCAGCCTAATGCTGTAGGAGGGAGCAAAGTCAGAACCGATCAGCTCAGTGTGAGGTTCAGGATGGCGCTGCCAGCCTCTGAGAGATTATCTGTGTTCTGCTTCCTCCTTTTCATCCTTGTCACCCCGCACCTCTCCACTGCACCTGGCTGTGTGGCCTTACATCTTACGCCCCTGTAGCCCCTGTGCTATCTTCTCCAATAGTTCCTCTCTTCCTTCTCTGCCCCTACAAGGACCTGTCTCTCATTCAATGTCTTGTCAGCTTCTCCCTTCACAACTTGGAGGTTTATGTATCCTTAAGACTTTATAGCTTCCATGCAGAAAATACCCAGGCTCACATCTCAAATCCTGTTCCTCTTTGGGAAATATAAATTACTGTTACACACACACACACACACACACACACACACACACACAATTTCTTCCTAATCCCACTCTTATCCCGAGAAGAATACACCCCCAGATCTTCAATTAAGACCCATGGCCTGGCACTATTGAAATGCCATTTGGGATCCATATTGACCTAGCAGGTCTATTTCATTCTCTGTTTGCTGGTTCTAATAGAGAATTGTGTGACAGAAGCAAAAAACCCAGCTTCCCATTGCCCCCTGAGCATTTCTCTGGATTGGTGGGGACCTGGACTCGGGTCAAACTGAGATTCCTGGTTGCAATGCAGAAAAGAATTCAGGGTTATCCAGTTTAAAATGCAGAGTTAGAATGAATAAAGATGTCTTAGTATCGGCTTTAGTGTGAGCACTACAGAAGAGAGGAAAACGCACTCAAAATGATATGATCCTCTCTGAGAGCGGCAGGGTAAGATATATATACCCAAATGCAGATATGAGCTTCGAAGGGAAGTCTCGGTTCAATGTCTGTTACAGCAGTCACATATAGGATGTTGGGGGAGAGTGAAGGTACTGTCTTCAAGACGGGGTAAGAAACTCCATGAGATTACCTGGTGCTTCCCTGGGGCTACCTGGCATGGCAACAGCTGAGAAGTCTAGCTCACAGGGGTACAGGAAGGTAGAACGACAGCTTTACTATCACAGACGATGTTAACAGTTTTGGTTGAGATCCTCAGAAAATGTCTGGAGAAAAGAAGTCACCAGACCCAAGGTCATAAACATTCAGACCTCAAGACCCGCGTTGTGAGCTTAAGATAAAACACATGGATACACAAAAGGGATAAAGTCCGTGCTCTCTGGGCAGCCTTTGCAGCCAATGCTGTGCTGAATTCTTGCTGCTCTGATGGTGAGAGGCTTCAGTAAAACCCTGGGGTGAGCAGCCCTTCTCATGTCCCCCAGATTTCCTTGTCTCTCTATGCTAGCTGATACCCACACCTGTCCCTTTGGAGGTAAGCTTGCTCTTTCTGTGGAGCAACAAGAAGAAGGAAGTGAGCAGAAGGGAAAGGGACAGGGCAAAGACTAAGAAGGAAAAGAGTGACCAGAAGGGACTTAGAGGAGAAAGGAAGAAACTTAAGTTTAAGGCGAGTCTACCTTGGGGCAGGTACACTACAAGGTAACTTTTAAAATTCCACTTGTCACCAGAAAATGTCAGCTTGGAGGACCAGGAAATCTTCAGTAAGACAGTGTCTCCTAAAAATGACAGGGACACTTCATTCGTAATACCTCAACAATGGGACAGTTAAATAAGACCCCCAAAACATACAGCACCAATAGACAGCTAATACGATAGTGGAAAATCTTACGGGCTTTCTTGCCCCTAGGCAAAAGACTATAGGCAACCAAGGAATACAGGGAAAGAATGAGTGTTCTCCAAAGAAGAGCCCCTAATTAGTTATCCAGTACCAAGTAATCAATCCTGAACAAGTAACACTGAGCAGAATCTGTTTATACATTTAGATGTGAGTGTGTGTGTGTGTGTGTGTGTGTGTATCTGTGTGTATAACAGTAATACAAAAAGGTCATGATTTCAAGAGCAAGTAGGGGAATGGGTGCATGGGAGGGACTGGATTTAGGAAGAAGAAAGGGGAAATGATGTGATTATATTTTAATAAAAAAATAAAATAAAATAAGGGTCGGGCGATGGTGACACACGTCTTTAATCCCAGCACTTTGGAGGCAGAGGCAGGCAGATCTCTCAGTTTGAGGCCAGCCTCTTCTGCAAAGTGAGTTCCAGGACAGCCAAGATTGTTACACAGAGAAATCCTGTTAAAAAAAAAATAAGTAAAACAAAATAAAAATCTCTGGGAAAATATATGAAAATGAATAAGTATTTAGAAGACACACGACCCATGGTTTTTTTTTTTTTTGACATCTTTATCTCAGCAAAATGGCAGTGTGCTTGTCATAATAATTTATGAACACACACATAGAGTGCTTTCTAAGGTGCCCAACCAATGCTGATGTTTCTTTGAATGTAGCTCTTAAAGACAGCTCAGCCTGTCACTGACATCTTCATGGTAGAGCACACTTAAGAGCACACTGTAACGCAGCAATACACTGATAAAAATTGGCATTTTCAAATATCCAGTTTTTAGTCTTCCCATCTATGAATGCAATGATCCCCATATTAAGTTTTAGTAAATTTTTAAAAAGTCGTAGTTTTGATGACCTCACCACTCCTCCTCCTGACACCCCTCAGCTACTACCACCCCCACCCCGCCCCGCCCCCACCCCGTCCCCAGTTCTCCTCCTACTCATCTTTCCTCTTTACTCTCATCTAGCCGTCCACTCCAATGGGTGCTGCCACTTCCTTCTGGGTGTGAGCTACCCACGGGTGCTTGCTGGACCTACCCGATGACACAGCCGTATAGAGAATTCCCTAGAAGCCAGCCATCAGCTACCTTTAACTCCTCAGTTCGAAGTGGACACCAGCTTCCTGGACGCTAGAATGCTGGCTGACTTGATCTAGCTAGTGTAGGTCTTTCTTGTGCAGGCAACCACAGCTGTTGTAAGTTTATAACTGCTGTAGCCCTGTCCTGTCCAGAAAACTGTTACTAAATTTAACACTGCTACTACGCTCTGCTCTCAGGAGGAAGGGGGGGGGGGGGGGGGGGGGGGGGAACTCCAATAGGTCGATGGTGCCCTCTTCTGGTTAAGGGTGACATTGTTTCAGCACAATGTCAATGTTTAGCCTAGATAAAGATGTAGCAATGACAAGTTCAGAAATTTTCCAAGGGAGCATGAACTCTAAAATGACAAGGAATTCCAGCCAGCAATGAAAGAGCAAGATCTTGAAGCAGAACCCCCGGATGAACCCTGCCTACTAGCTTGTTTTTCATGCCTTGCTCAGTTTGCTTTCTTCCACAACCCAGGACCACAGGGATGACATGGCCCACAACGGACTCGGACTGTCCACATGGATCCTATGATCATGAAAATGCTGCCACCGATTTTCCCACAGGCCAATCTGAGTGAGGCAATTCCTCATCTGAGATTTGAGATTCCTTTTTCCAAGGTGTCAAACTGACAAAAACTCCCCAGCACACACATTTCCTCTGGGACGTGGTTTGTATCCGATTTATGTTCTCTTTCTGAGAGTAGCTTGCTTCCCTGGGCTCTCACCCCAAGCTAAGTTCCTCTCAATGAATCTCCGGTTTATCTCAGACATTAATTGGGAGTTTGGACAGTAACTTACACTAGGTAATCAACTCTTCAATGTGTCTTCTTGGTTGAGTCAAGGTTTCCGGAATCCATAACAAGATATATTGAGAGTTTCCCTATGAGACCATTGCATGCCCTGGGGTGTCTCCAGTGATGCTCTCTGACAAAGTTAGGCTGAACAAGCTCTTGGCTTCAGCATCTTTATAATCAGAGACTTAGAAATTGTTCAAACTTAAAGTAGTAAGGTTGAAATAAGAAGACGAAGTTATAGAGAAATGCAGAACTAGATAAAGGATTGGCAAAGGGGTAAACGCTGGATGCTAGCAAACAAAGGCTGTGGAGACAAAAACAAAATGTTTAGGTAACTTAATAACCACAGAAGCAGAAAGGTATAAGGTTCCATAGCAAATAGCAGTCTCAGTGGTCCTTGATATTTTACTATAGTTTTTTGTGAGACACACTGCATTGAGAGTCAAGCTTCCCCTCAAATGTTTACTATAAAGAAACTAAGTAACGGAGTAACAAGATCTTATCACCTAAACATTTAAATAGCCACCTGTCCAAGAAAAAAAAATAAACACTACGTGAACTTCTTATTTTTCAGTGACCTTAACCACGTCAGCACGTTCGGGAGGGTGCGCCGAGGTAGATAAGGGAGCGCCTCCTGGAGAGCGGGAGCCTAGGCCAGCGGGAGCCTAGGCCAGCGGACCCTCGGCCAGGCAGCCAAGTCTAGCTATCAAAACACACTGGCACTGGGAGTCCCGCCCTTTTAGAGTTCCGTCCACGCAGGGCTGTCACTCAGAGGGGACTCTGGACCTTGTAGTCAACAGCCGCCTTTCTTTTTTCTCTTTCCGGGGGGGATGAAACCCAGGAAAAACTACCAAGCCCAGAAGGCACCGCGCACCCCGAGTGGGAGGAGCGGAGGGCGAGAGGGCGGGACGAGAAGGTCTTCCGGAAAGGATTCAAATTCCAAGGGCTGAAATCGCGGGAGGAGCCGACTGCTCCGGTTTTTAGGTAGGCGAGGCTTCCCTATCCTTCCCTGACAGGAGCCGGCGTGCTCGGTGGCGGTCAGTTCGATTCTTCAGTCAGCACCCGTCCTCGCAGCACACAGGGATGCGGCTGCGCTTGGCCCGATGGGGTTGGGCTCCCCGAGAGCTAGTCTAGCCGGGCAGTCCCCTACTCCTAGTGACATTTGACAGGACTGATGGGTGGAGGGGCCGGAGATGGCCCGGAGGTTGCGAGCCCTGCTCGCTCTTTCCGATCGCCCTGGTTTACTTCCCAGCACACACAGAGGGGGCTCGCCACTGTCTGTTACTCCAGTTCGGGGTTCCGACGCCCACGTTTGGCTTCCACAGGCACTGCAAGCGTGTTGTGCTCAGACTCACATGCAGGCAAAACACCCGTACACATAAAAAATAAATCTCGGAAAGGTGGATGAAAGGGCTGACTGAATTGTTCGCCGAGGTTGGTTCAAAAAGAAGAGGAATGGTTTTCCAAGCATCCAATAGAAGTAGTTTAGAAGATTCCTACTGAGATTTTGGGGACTATGACCAAGGAAACACAGAATATGCACCTGTAAAACTTCTCCCTCTTACAAGAGGGAATTCTTTTGACAGAAGGCAGCATTTCGTTTCTAATGAAAAGCTGGGAGAAGCAGCAAAAATTTGAATGTACTGTAACCTCCTAAGAGGAGTTTCTTTTCACAATTGCTTTAGTTTGTGTCAGTGGGGAGACCGGAGAAGATTCGTGGCAAACATTTGATCTTGTGTTTTTTCGTCTTGTTTTGTCCACCAAGCTGCTTTCTGTCTTGTAAAACCCTGTTTAATACAGCCCCTGCTCAAGGTGATGTACCCAGCCGTGCTTCCAAAAGCTTGCACTGTGATCTTGGAGAGCATTATATAGCTGAAATCAGGCCTTGAAATCATATGCTGTTCTAGCTGAATTATGAACTATTTGGATTGTAGGTATCACTCCCTGATAGATTCAGGGGCAGTCATCCTTAGCTCAAAATCGTTCACGTACGATATTCATCTCTAAAACCCTACCCTTAAAGTTTAATTGAATACACGAACTTGTGCAACTGTAACCAGGATTTCCTTCTTGTCCGTTTTAGGTAAGTTTATGTCAAGAGCAAGCACCTGTCCACAACATCCAAGTAATAAAATGGTTGCTATATAAATGACTGAAAGTCCAGCCGGTTTGTGATTGAGTCAGGTGAAGAGGTCAGTGGTAAAGCATCAGTTCACACACACATACTTTCAAAAAAATATTTGAAGTCGTCCTTAAAGTAGCCATTATTACAAAACTCAGTAAATACATAATGCGGAGAATCATTTCCTGTTTTTAAAGATAAGGCTTCCCGGGAGTAGTAAGAAACAGAATATGTCGAAGTAACCATATTTCCTAAAAAACGTTCAAACAGAAGGGAGCGTGTTTATTGTCTCCCACGTACAATTTAAGTGTGCAGTCACTGGTTTTCTTCACGCCACCTTTCCAGCTTCACGGAATACGGGAGAAACACAAGCAGTGTGTTTCTCGCAGACCGAGAAGCTGAAGTCAAGAAATAGGAAGTTCTTTAAATCTCACAACTTCCTGACTCAGGATGTGTGGTTTGATCTGAAAAGACTGAGTGCATTTAAACTTTGCCCTGTAGGTTACCTATGAAGACAGTTGACTAAAATATCAAACTATGAAGGAAACGTCCCCCAAGAACAGTCATCTGACAGTTCCGAGTCCAGAATGGATGCCGCCAACGCTCAACAGGCAAGAACAGCAAGTCATAGTAGTTTTGTTGACCTGCTGCCTCCGGAAGTCACTTGTAAAATCTTCAGCCAGTTAGACATTCAGAGTCTGTGCAGAGCTTCCGAGACGTGCCAGAGTTGGAATCACACGATAATAAACAATGATGCCTTGTGGAAGCCTCACTGCTTGACCGAGAGAGCTGTGTGCCCGAGAGAAATCAACGGTGACATTGAACACAATTACACCTGGCGGGTAAGTTTCACTTCACCGTGTGTTGTGGTTTTGAGAGGGCGGTTGTAGCACAATTAGGAGAACTCTAGAATTCTGCCTGGAGTAATATGACTATAGAGGAGTAGAGTTGAATCATTTCTCTCTCTCTACTGGACATAGTCCCCAAGCTGTCTTCCACAGCCTTGTATCTCTCTCAGATCTTGAAGTCAAGTACTTCCATTGTTGGGGGGAAGTAAAGAAGTCCATTTCTTTTATTCCACTTTATGAAAACAGTACATATATATGTACTAGCTAGCCACTCTGCCAGAGTTTTGAGCGATGGTATCTCCCCTTTCAGGAGATAATCAAAAGAAATTACCAGAAGAGTAAAGTGAAACACGCGTGGCTCAGTGGAAGATACAGCAACATACGTTCTCCTCTGAACCTGCCGAAAAGATTCATGTACCCGATGGACGCAGATACATGGGGAGAAATTCTAGATGCAGAACTGAAAAGATAAGTTGAAGAATCTCAGTAGACCTCGTGGCTTTGATCGCACCTAACTAAAATGACTCGAACTTCAAGAGACTTTTTAAAATCTGATAATGTTCTTCTCAGTTTTTAAAAAAAAAATCTAGCATTTAAAAAAAAACTGAGTTGACCATGAAGCTTTGTTTGTATTTTGCACTTTAGCTAAAGTTTTTTAGGTTTTATGCAGTGATAAATCTTGAAATGTTATTTTTATAAAAAAATAGCATGATAGAATGATTTTGAAATGTGCTGTTTCATGTATTTGTGTTAGACTGTTGTATTACTTTAAGTGATAGAATTGACTGTTATTTTCTATTTAATCCTTCAAGAATTCAGAAAACCTGAAGAAACTTACTTAAAGATTCATTATAAATCAGTATAGATATAGACTTGTCTGACTTATATCAAGTGAGAGTAGTTGCAATATATGTAGATTAGTAATAATAACTCTATGGTAACAGTTTTCAATTCAGTGGAACAGACTGAATTGTCAAATAATGAAAGCTAATTTAAAATGTGTTGAACCTAAGGTTTATTTAAACTTGAGATGAAACTCAAATTAAGCTTTATGTTATTTTTCTACAAACCTAAAATTGGTTTCAGAAACTGAGACTGTGTTTGGAAAGCTGCAGAACACTTAAGGACCATTAGAACCACCAAAGGTGGTCTACCTTAGTCAACTACATCCGACATCCTGGTCGCGCCACCTAGTGGACTCCTAGATGTTTGACCTTTCTTTTTTTTTTATTTATTAAAGATTTCTGTCTGTTCCCCGCCACCGCCTCCCATTTCCCTCCCCCTCCCCCAGTCAAGTCCCCCACCCTCGTCAGCCCAAAGAGCAATCAGGGTTCCCTGCCCTGTGGGAAGTCCAAGAACCACCCACCTCCATCCTGGTCTAGTAAGGTGAGCATCCAAACTGCCTAGGCTCCCCCAAAGCCAGCATGTGCAGTAGGATCAAAAACCTACCATTGTTCTTGAGGTCTCAGTAGTCCTCCTTGTCCGCTATGTTCAGCGAGTCCGGCATGTCTTTTCCGAGCCCTATTTGATCTTGTTAAAGTGTATCTTTGCAAGAAGGGGCCTTTTTTCAACTTTGTTTCTCTTTTTTAATAAAAGGAGAATGTGTAGCAGCATTTCCTCTAACAGGTTGTAACACTTGAATCTGTGAGCCATAGTAAAATGTGTCTACCGATATCATCAGGTGCATGGAGTTTTCTATAGTTATTATGCTTTAACTTTCTGTTGCTGTTGTTTCTACCTGCTAGGACTAGACTGATTTAGTCCTGTTCTCGATGCACTATTTGAATGTGTGAAGACAGCCGGCCTGTCTCTTCCTACTGTCTTCTCCCCCTCTTTCTGAGAGCCACATGCCATGCTTCGTAGGCCAAGCAGCACAGTCTGCTGCTCATGCCTCTTAACAAATGTGTGACTGGGGAGGAAGATAGCCTGCTGATTTCCCTTAGGAAGGGATAATGGAAAAGCACTTTGAAATCTTGAGACCCCTGGAAGGGAATCAGTAAAGCACTTACGGCATGCCGGCTGCATGTATATGAAGGTATTGTGGGTCGTGTCCTGTGACGAGCCTTCTGCCTTTCGCATTTCTGCTAGGAAAGAATGGCCCAACCAGGAGGAATCGTCCTCCTCACTCACGGCGCCCTCTCTGTCAGCCTCCGTGTTGAGGCTCAGAGTGGAACGTGACTGAAACTGCCTCTTTCTTAAGCTGGAAGACAGAAGGGATGGCACCGTTTCCTACCACACAGAGAAGCGGGCCCTCAGTCAGAGAGCACCCAGCCAGCAGAAACAAAGGAAGCGGGAGAGAGGGTGATGGTAACAGCTGACTCAGTCCGTACCCATGTCTAAAGAGCGTAAATTGCACTAGAAACCCTGTCCTACCATAGGGCTTTCTTACTGTTGGACAAGTGTGTGACACTTGTGGTTTACCTTAGTGTCTTAGTTTTGCACTCGGAACCCTACCTGCGGGGCGCCCTTTGCCTATTTTTCAAGGATGTGATCCTTGTGGTTTCGTTAACATCTTTGTTTTAGAGATCTCCGCCCTTGCTTTGACTCCTTCCTTAGTCCTACTGATTTTGTGTCCCAAAGGCAATCCCTTGCCTCAGATGTCCCCAGCATTCATTTCTTTCTCCACCTTCTATAACTTGTTCTTCCCACAAAAAGTTGAAACTGCTGCTAAGATACAAGTAAATTACTTCCTAATGTGTTTGATACGTGTTTGTCCTTGATTTATCTGGCACTCAGTTCTTGCCGTTCTTGGGCTGGAGGCAAGCATCTCGTTTCTCTTCACACACCTCGTTTCCTTTGGAGACCCACCGTCCTAAAAGATGCTGCTGTTCGCGGAGGTCAGACTGTTGTCCTCTTCTTCACTCTGAACAGCTACTCCCCATCCTCACTGCTATTGTTGGCACTTCTGGTGCCTGGATTCCTGACTCCACGTCACACTTGCCCAGGCTCTTCCAGACGCGCCTGTGCCAACCTGTTGGCATCGCAGCTGAGTCGCTAATACTGGAGCCAGAGCTCATTAAAGCAGCAGATCAGTTACTCCTTTGGCCCCTGCCCTGGAGCGTGGCCAGGGTTTTAGGTAGTTCACCCCGTTTCTGCTTCCCTCATCCTGTGACCATCCAGCCAAAGATCAGCTCTTCCTGCTTTAGTTGTCTGAATATCGGAGCAGCCCAGCTCAGTCTTTTCTCTCTCTCATACTTCTTACCCTTATTTGAAGCTGGCACGGCTAAGACACCCTGCTGTACTCCTTCCTCTCACTGCTGATAGATCAGTCTTCCTAAGAGCCCTCAGACTACCGCGTCACCTCTAACTTGGGTCATTTGCTACATTCAGGTAGAGAATGGCTCTAAAAAGGGAGGCCCTTAACCCCTTAACAACGCCTGGCCTAGCCCTGTAGCCTTTGCTCATATAGTTCTCCATTCTGTGTCTTTCAGTTCAATCAGACCGAATAGCATCTGCAGCTGCCCGGCCATGCTTGCTCCCTTATGTGTGCCCCACCCTACAGGTCATGTGATAGACACACTTACAGGGTTGTCCTTCCACCACCGTTAGCTCTTGACTTGGCAGAGTCTTTCACCTCTAGCCCACCCCTACCTGCATTGTTCTGGATTAAATTATTCTTCTAAAGTTCATATATATTTTTCTTTATGACATTCTCCTCAAAAGCTATTACACTATGTTGAGTTGTCTGTCTACCTGCCCCTATGGATTGTGAATTTCTTAGTGACAGGAACTATATTTTAATTTACTAAAGTTTTTTAGTAACAGCTGGGCAGTGGTGACACACGTCCCAGCACTCGGGAGCCAGAGGCAGGTGGATCTCTCTGAGTTTGAGGTCAGCCTGGTCTACAAGAGTTCGAGGACAGGCTCCAAAGCTACAGAGAAACCCTGTCTTGAAAAACAAAACAAAACAAAAAATCTTAGTAACTTATATCATATTCAGAATGTAAAAAAATGTATTATTGTGATAATATAAAATGTTTTATTTTAGCAGCAAATTGTGATAAGACTGTATTAAAATGCAAAATGTATTTGTGCAATGTATAAGCTACTTATGTTAATGTTAAATTATACATGATTGTTTAGTCATCAAAGGTGTGTGTGTAACTTAAAGTGTTTTGCTATATTTTTAATAAGCACTTGAAAATAAATTCAGTTTTTTAAAACATCACATCCTCATTATCTTCTGTTCTTAGCCACCCCCGTGAATTTCTAGTATTTCCTTTGCAAGGTAAGTGAATAAACCTCAAGTTTTTTCTCTTTTGTTCAAACCATTCTTTTATAACAAGGAACACTTTGGAACTTGAGTGATGAATTGTGTGGTAAGGGCTTAAAGGGAATACTCATTTATCAAGCCAAACCATTTGGGAACATGAGTGGGTGGAGAAAATGGAAGGAAGGCGTGTCCTCGTTAATAGATAAAATGTCACGGTGGCTGTCCCTGCTGTGTGACGGGGGCAAGATTAGTAAAAAGAAGTTTAAAGTTTTTCCCAATATTTTTTTCAAAATCATAATCAGTTTGATTTACTATTTAAAAATAAACCTTTTAGAAACCTTTCTCTTGTTATTTCTGGTAACCCAGTCTTGGAAAATTATCAGAAAAAAATGCATAGGAACTATAGGCCTTAAGACTTGTATATGTATAAACATAATTTGAAAAATATAGCATACCCAAATCATTTTAATTCCCCCTTTTCTGTGATTTTGTGCTACCTGTTGTCTGACATAAAATGTTCTGACGTTGTTGGCAAAGCTAAGTTGAGTCAAAACATCAAGACAAATGGAGAAAGTGCATGAAGAGGACCCACATAGTTTTATTTAATATCAAGTCAAAATTCCTAAGATACCAAACATGTGAAATTAGGCCCATCGTGAGCAAAGTTGGTTATGTGCGGTAGCCAACATTCCTTGGATGCCTGCCCCATACCCGTGCTGAGCTTGTGGGTGGGTGGGTGCCTCTACCCCCCCCCTCACTTTATGAACTAAGAACTGAAATAAAAATGGTCTTGCAGCATGGCCATTGCCACTATAAGAGTGTGTAACGCATGGTGAGTGGCCAGCTGAGTTTACATGATATGTGTGGTGCTGCTCAAGTGGGTTTTAATACTTTACGATGAAAGACCAAGAATGTTGTAGTCCCCTTATACTCTGAAAACTTTTCATCCCACAGAAGAGCAAATATATGTATATGATTACATTTGTATGTATGTAATATGTGATATAGATCTCATATCTATAATGTTGAATTAGGAGCGGCAGGGCTGCGTCCCCGGCACCCGGCCGCCCGCATGGCTAGCTTACGCCCAGAAATAATTACACGGAAACTGTATTCTTTCAAACACTGCCTGACCCATTAGTTCCAGCCTCTTATTGGCTAGCTCTTACATATTGTTCTAACCCATTTCTAATATTCTGTGTAGCCCACGAGGTGGCTTACCAGGGTGGATCTTAACCTGCGTCTGTCTGGAGTGGGAGAAACATGGCGACTCCTGACTAAGCTTCTTTCTCCCAAAATTCTGTTTTGTTTACTCCACCCACCTAAGGGTTGGCCTATCAAATGGGCCTAGGCAGTTTCTTTATTAATAAGAAATCACTCCCAC